TGTATGACGTTTTTCACAAGCGCGTGACACAGCATGCCGGTCACGTGACATAATCTATAATAATTATCTCTCAAGGTTTTTACGGTTTTATTTGAGATAGAAGTCGGACAGAAATAAACAGAACATTGAAAAATGAGTGAAGATTTTGACAATAATAATGGTAAATATTTTACATTTTATAAATACGATCTTTTACAAGAGATTAATTTCAAACTTTTATGTTTTTTCTAAGTTTATTAGACACTTCCCTTCTTGTTGTAATAATGAATAACAGATTTTTTATTGTTTTTCAATCGTATAAAATATACAAATTAATTTATTTCCTTTCTATTTATATTTTTGTAAAATATTCAAATATATTTGAATGCTTTTTTTTCTTTCTTTGTAATTTTTCCTTTGCTAATTTTTGATTCGTTTGAACGTAGGTGACTCTGAATATTTGTTATTAAAACACCGTACTTAGTTTGATAGTGGCAAGACTCGTCATTGTATTCTAGTACAACACTTACACGCAGTGATTATAAAATACAAGTAATATTATATAGTTTTTGTGAGACCTTTGGGAACCGTACTTTATTACTATCATTCTAATTTTCTAATATTTTATTAATAATTCACTCAAAAAGTTTCGACAAAAATATAATAAAATTAAATATTCGTTCAATCTATTTTTGTATGGCCAAGAATTCGTATCCTTCACCGACTAGACTCGTCCTTGGTATTGTTTATAACAACATTCCGATAAAAATTAGACTTATTTTATTTATTTCCTGTATATATTATGAATAATTTCAAATTTCCTACTTTATTTTCTATTATTTTTTTTTATCGGAATGAGTTACAGTTGACCGATTTCGGTGTTTTTTTCCCATTTAAATATATGATAAGAATTTATCTTATTTTTATTTGCCTCAATCACTATTGCGTAAGAAAGTGTTATTGCATCACCTACATTTTATTATATTTTCTAACGATAATTTAAATATTATTATTTCATAAAAAAATATTAGATTTTTGTCAATTATTCCAGTCAATAAAATATAATTTTTAAAAGATGGATATAAATGTAAAACTGTTTTAATAAATCATCCAATTTTATTTTTATTCGGCTCAGGACTAGAGCAGTGATTCTTAATTTGGGATGAAGGGGTGAAGATGGATGATCACTTTTCTGAAGGATGGGAGATCTTAATAAAGTGTACCAATATCAAATCTGTGTTTATAATAATATACTTTTTGCTATAAGTCCTTAACCTAGATGTAAACGTTTCTTTTGTCGATGAATGACCATGAATAGTTTCCTTTCCTTAATTTCTTAATTTACACTCAAGTAATTAAGAAAGGAAAATATCCTTAAAGTTAAAACGATTCTTTCTGCTTAGATAGGAAGACATTTCAAGTGAGACTTGCATTTAAACATTTAAGAAATGAAGGGATAGGAAAAGATTAAGATCTAATGCAGTAGACGTACAGTATTTAAGTCTAACACTGCACTTTATAAAATATGTTTTTAATAATAGCACAGTAAATTGTTTTATTATTATATAAGTTAAAGCAAAATGCATACTGTAATAAACAAAACTCTAAAAACTGAAACCAAAAAAATTCTATTTAATTAGCTAATAAAATAATCACGTAAAATACTGTACGACAATTACTAGTAACGAAAATAATCACTCTTAGAAAACAATATTTTACTATTAATAATATAATTCAAATATATTAAAATAAGAAACTTGTTATATTAATTTTTGCGGCTACTAATGAAAGCGTTGCAATTGATAATTGTTGATAATTGTTTTTCCCACCTGAATGTGAATTATTTAAAAACAGTTATCAGTAGCAATGTTAAAGTCAATAGTAGGATTGAAAATCTCATGATAATCTATTAACATAATTTTTATTACGTTAATAGTACGAGCATTTACAGAAATTCTCTTTCAAAATAAGCATATTCAGCTAATCACATCTACTAACATCCATACCATTTGTCAAAACAGCATTGAAAACCATTTTTTCCGATGTTTTTTAGGGTTCTAGTCACTGGTTTTTCTATAAAATACCGGATTCAAACGGTCGTTCCTAATCAGTAAATTCTAGCTTAGTGACTTATTAAATAAAAATTTAGTTATCCTAAAAATTAATTCTATTAATGTATAAAGACGGGTTTGAGATCAGTGTATCCGTTTTCATACAGCACTTAAATCTCAATCTTTTTAAAGACACTTGTAAGACTACTTTGAAACTTGTTGGGGAGTACTATTTGCTCCTCAGTGCTACTAGAACTCTGCTTGAAACACAGTGGGTGCCATGGCAATGTAATTGCTATTTTACTCACCAGGCAGGGTGTTTAATATCCCTTTGTACGGGCCAGAACCAGCTTTCGGTATTTCTTAACATATTATTTTTAGAGCTGTTAAAGAATTGACTATCTCCAATAATTATTTGCACTGGAAGTTACTTCCTGGCTTAAAGCAGAATAAGAATTCGTTGCCTAACCTGCTCCCTGAACGAATTAAGGGTATCTTGGCTTTCGACCTAAATCGTGTTCACTTTTTGGTAGGTGCTGTGACTAGATTTAATCACTTTCGTAAACATTTGTTGACTGAAACTTTCTCCTCAGCTTTTTGCCGGTTTTGTGGATCTGTTGTAAAGACTCCTCTGCATCTTATTTGTGAGTGTAAATATTTTAACTCAGGTACTGGGTCCCACTTTGTCGAACTCTGGTCTTGTCCTTCAGTTTTCGTTCAGAGATCTGCTTTATTTAAAGATAGAATCTGAGACAGAACTTTCTAGGAAATTTTCATGGGCAGACCATCGAAGACGTATAGAGTTCGGCCATGCCCATAATGGGCACGGCCGAACTGATCATTCACATGAAAAAACTCTTAATGGCCACAAAACAGAAAGACTTAAAAACGTCAAAAAATGTCTCGCTTTGTTGTCAGAAATTTTAATCACGTTATAGTATATAGAGGCCAACATAGTCTTTGGTCTGACAACCCAAAAATTTTTAATACTCTAATTAACCACTAACTTTAATTTCTATAATTACAATGTCAATCAACTTGTTCTCGAACAATAAGTATCTATTGTGCATAGTATACTTTTCTCAAATTTTACATGATTATTTAAAATTAAAACGTAAATTAATAAATATTTTTATGTAATTAATAACTAACCGCTTTATTTAATACAGCAGATTCACCTTCCGTTTTGTCTGCAAAACTTAAAAGACCGAATTATAATGATTATCCTTACATACGAATGCCTGGAGGCTTCTCATTAGAAGCTCTGAAATCTGCAATCGATTATAAGCCAAAGCCTGGAGATTTATTTGTAGTTACTTATCCCAAATGTGGAACAACGTGGATGCAATATATCGTTACAGTTATGATGAGGAAAGGAAGACCCGTAATCGATGCAAGAGATTATTTACAAAACTCGCCTTTCTTAGAATTTACAGGTGTGGATGCATTGGAATATATGACTGATCCGGGCCCAATTAAAAGCCATTTGCCTTTTCATTTGATACCGTTTTCATCTGAGGCTAAATATATATACGTGGCACGAAATCCCAAGGATTGTTGTGTGTCTTTTTATCATCATACAAAATCATTACCTTCTTATAATTTTAGCGATGGAACCTTTGATGAATTTTTTGAAATGTTCATAAACGGCCAAACGGATTATGGAGATTATTTCGATCATCATTTATCCTGGTACGAACATAAGAACGAACCTAACATCCATTTTGTAACATACGAAGATTTGAAAGCCGACACAAAAAATGAAATATTGAAAATTGCAAAGTTTTTGGGTGAAGAGCATTACGAAACATTAACGAATAATCCTGATATTCTCGATAAAGTTCTCAAATATAGCAGCATTAATTATATGAAGAATTCATTAAATGAATCATTTAAACATATTTTTTTATCAACTTCTAAAATTTCAGATAATATACCATCAGGTGTTAAAGCCTTTAACAAATTCATGGCAGAACATTCGTGGTTGGTTAAAAATAATGAAGTAGAATTCGTTCGTAAAGGCGTTGTTGGAGATTGGAAAAATTATTTTACTCCGGAACAAGAACGAAGGATGGAAGAAAGAATAAAAGAGAAAACAAAAGGTAGTCCCTTGATGAATATTTGGAAGAAATGAATATATACCACGATAAACAATTACAGCAGTGAATTTAATATCCTGTTGAAGAATTTTCGGAAGAAAATATTATTATTTAAATTAAGAAGAGAATTATTTTGGAACATTTGTTCGGCAGTTATCTAATTAATAATCTAGTTATGTAATGTTTACAATTTTATGCAAATAATGTCATACGTAAAACCTGAAACCGATTAGGCTTTGATCGTATTAATATAGACACAACGAATAAATGTACCATTAATCTCGTATATGTTTTATGGAAATAAATATTAAATAGAATAATGTACAAAAGATGGTAAAAGCATTATTTATTCATAATACATATAGCGTTACGTATGGCGCGTAATAAAAGTACAGTATGTTATTCATAAGAGTTCCACCAGTATTCGAGAGGCTAACACTACAGAACACGGGTCGTGGGTTCGCGCGTCACCAATGGGCTTGTTGCGTGGAGTTTCCAGAGTTTCTTTCACGTGTCTTACACCTAAATAGGGGCAAGCCTCCGGAAGGCACTTTTCCTTGGAAGATCGCTCATATGCTGTGTTCCCATCAATTAATTCTTAAGAGATTATTTTTACCCTATTTCTGCGCAAATGGTCTTTTATGTGATAAATCACGATACACACGTGCGTGTTTTCAAAAATTAATTTCGTCATGACATTGTATGTTAAATGTCTATATGAACTCTGACCGTAGGCTTTACATGAGAAATTTTAACCTCGATTATCTCGTTCCATAAATGAAATTTCAAAATTCTGGCTTTTTCACGACATCGGCTTTTCCGAGTTACGCATACAATGCATTACGAAATGATAGAGCCACTGTGAAAAGATGCCATTAATGAAGAAATAAAAACCATATTACAAAGCAATAGAAGGGAATTGACTATTATATAACATATTTTTATTTTATTACCGTTTTTTGATTAAATTATTAAGTGGATTTTAACAATGGTGTTATGTTAGACTTATCCCAAAATGATAGAGCCACAATGTTTAAATCATAAGTAATTTTATTTATTGCTAGTAAGCAATATGTCCACCTTTTTAATACGTTACTTCGTAAACTCTATCTGACATTGTTTTACTAAGATTTTTCTCTTCATCTGTAATTTCGTGCCAAACATCAGTGTTTGCCTTTTCAATGATTCCACTGATGTATATTTCTTTCCATTGATATATACTTTTGTTGCTAAGATATAAAACATGTTTTCTACAGGATTAACATCAGGAAAGCGTGTGGACCAGTCCATGCCATAAATACTGCTAAAAAAGTCAGTCCCAAATTAATTTTGTATTATGAGTGAGTGCGTTATGTTGTAGAAATAAGAAAAACTTCCCTCAATTTTTTTCTGAAATGAATTAAGTGCAAATCTAGTACTTGCTAGTATCCTACATCAATAATACAACCAGAGATAAAAGCTAGATTTGTCATACCACCTCATCCACGTGCATACTATATCATGACACCTCCACCATCTTGCTACCGTCTTGAATAAATTAAGTCATTTTGCCAACAGCTTCTCCAGCCATCTGGTCCATCAACGCTTAATTTCTTGTCACCACTCCATATCTATTATTGCCATTAGTCCATGTCATGCAATATTTAGTCGAATTTGTTTAATTTTCTTACTTTGATAGATGATCACATGATTTGATAACTTTGTATACTGTTAATTTTGACACATGGCTGGAGGAGATACAATTTTCCTCATTGTAGAATTACTAATTTTCCTGCAAATTTTTCTCTTTTGACATGAATTCAGAGCAGGAAGTATTCCAGATGACTATTTTATTCCATATTATCCACTTGAATTGATGTAATTTGCAACAATATGATGAAAATAATTCAGTATTCTACAAATGTCCGTTATTAAAAGTTTCAATTTCTACAGTTTAGTTATATGACCTTGTTCAAACTAAGAAAATAATTTTCCTATTCCCATAATAAATCCTTTAATATATCTTGAAATCCAGAATTATATTCTTCAAAAATTCATCACTAATCTACTAGTCCTGTAGCTGTTTTTGATGTTAATTGTGATTTAAGTGCTGAAGCAGAAATGCTTCAATCATTTTACAACAACTATATCCTATACACATTGTTCAAATTCATTTCTGGTTTTTGATAAAATTATTATTATACGATATTATAAGAAACCAATAATCAATCCCCTTCTATTGTTTTGTATTGTTTTTTTCATACAAGTACGAAAGGAAAAAAAGACCTTTTATGTGGCAAAATCATAAGAGATTGGGAGATAGTTACACCAATTTGGCCAAGGGGAGACTGACAAGGGGTGATTACATATTAATTATGCAACTCTATATTTATCCAGTAGTGGCATTTCTGTCTGTATAGAATCGGTTGCATAATGTATTTATTATTTCTTTATTATTGTCATTATTTCACAATGAATATTTCCTTTTGGAACGGACTGTATTTGCAGAAACTGATGTTTAGTGGTCCTGTGATTGTTTTAATCTTAAAATTGGCAATCGGCCCGTAGTCTTTACATGGTAAATTTTGACGTGTAATATTTCAGCCCATGAATCGAATTTGAAAATTTTGGCTTCGTCACGAGATTCGCCTTATCGAGTGGTACAGTACATACTGTATTTCCAAAAAAAATCATTTTCAGTGGTTATGCCGTTGCTTTAAACTTCGATCACAAACAAAATACTTACAAAGAAATCTACTTTCGCTTTGCTCAACAAATTCTGAAATTTTGTTAGATGTACTTCATTTTATGTGTACGGTTTATTATTCTACCACTGACCCGCGTTATTAAGCGTTCAATTAGAGTTACATTTTTATTTGTGACGATGCATTAGAAACATTCTGTGACGCGACTTCTGTCACAGAATGTTTCTAATGTATCGTTCCACATAGACGTATTGTCAAAGAAAGTAGAATATAGTAGACCCCCCTATAACGCGGGTTCCTATAACGAGGCGAAAAAATTGCCACTGTATTCGTATAAAGACGCTAAAAAGGACGCGTAAAACGCGGTAAAACGTCATCGCAGACGAGCAGCCGAACTATTTTCCGCCGTACAGTGCCAAGCTACGGAGAGTTTAGGCAAGCTATCGTCTGTACAGTATGTAAATTATGTACCGTAAGTCTAATACATTACTGTAATTTTATACATTTCTTGTGAAAGAAACATTTCTTATTCAACGGCGATTAAAATTATTTATATTAATGATGTCTCCAAAGTTCAACGAAGTTTTTGCAGAAAAATTACATCAAAAATCGCGGCAGCGGTTTGCTGCGCTGTTCCGCGACGAAAACAACTTGAGCAACGGCGATGTCGAATGGTGCACACTCGGTAAGTAATCCTACAATTTTTTGTTTATAGCGTAGTTTATACGGATTNCTCGACTAAAACGAGGTTAAATCGCGATCGACTCGAGAGAGTTCTCGAAACTAGATCCAGTCATGAGAGAGATCCCACAATCCCACGCGCGCGAGAAAATACAAGATGGCTGTTGAACACGTGTCCGGCTATCGACAGAAAAATAAAAAAGATATCTGGAGAGACGATGACATCTGTCTATTATTAGATATACGGCAAGAAAAAGTATTTATTTCTAACCAAAACTTCCATTTTGTTTGTTGGTGTTCGTGACTTACCGCGTAGTTACGTCAGTCTTATTATCGCGTGTAATAGCCGGGTTCTTCTCGAGCGGATTGCCTGTGCGAACAGCACGATGTTCGACTGGCGACAGTCACAATACAGATTGTAGATAAATCGAGATCGAAGTGAGTCGTGGATTGTGTGCGAACGTAGTATAAGCTACCTTATGTCAGAAAGTTGCAAGCAAAAATTTCATTTAAGAAAAGTTTTAAACTGTTTTCCACGTACAAAAATCATTGCTCAGAACAGATGTATTTTCAAATGTGAAGCAGAAACGGGGAACATTTATATTCCTATCACAGAAACATATACCGGTACTTATAGAATTTTAAATTGTGTTTTCCAATCTGCCGTCCATACATGTCCTCGACCAGTTTCAGAAGATCCGCGAATCGTTCAGGAGATACCTCATAAATGCCTTTATTTTCTTAAAGTATATTGACGAAATTACAATAAACTTTGTCGTCGAACATTATCTATTAAAGCATTTCTATCAAATTATATATTGATGAATAGAAGGTAAGAAGAAACTTCGTTCTGTCTTTAGATCAAAATGATGAAAATTTCCTTGTGCTTTTAAAATACAAAATACAATTATCTTCTTAATGTTATTAATTTTATTTCTCTGAATTATTGAACATACAGTTAATAATAATAAAACATTTTAATCATATTAATGTAACAATATCATTTATATTTTAAACATTTTATCCACAACGATGTTTGTTAATTTTCAAGTTTTTAATTCGGAGAGATCCTGAATCTCATCTAATTCAATATAGATGGAAGTATGCCATTAAATCATGAGATTGTTTATTCGATTATGCACAAAATGGTTTAGAAATATTTGAAAAAATCTATAAATTATATATATGAAATGAAATCACTTTCTATAATATAACATTAATTATTCTTTCCGTAAATTAAGTAATAAAAGTCATACTTACTGTGAAGGCCTATATATACAGTATATAAATAGATAAAAACTCGTTATTTTTAGAATATTTTAAAAAATAGTTTTAACAGAACCTAGACTAGATGCTTTTTCAACACGAACACATTTAAGGTTCTTCCAATTTAAATCTCTATGCAACTGAAATGCTTGCCGGAAACATGCAAATATTGCAATGAACTAAAGAAATCCCTCGAATTCAGGAACTAATTCTGGGAAAGGGGTGTCCGCAAATGTCGTAAGTCCATTAAAACAAACGTTTTTTAAACATACAATCATAACGATCATAAAATGTGCAGGATGGAGTTAAATGCTATTACGATGCAAAGTATGAGTAAAATAATATCATAAATTACTGCACATTGAGAAATTTATACTCATTGATCCATTGATTCGACTTTTTTATCATGCTCTATTCGCGAACAAAAAAAAACTTTTTAATTTTTTCTATCGGACAGAAAACCGATTCGCGCCTGACAAACGGAACTGGCCACGTAAGTTTTCCTGAATATTTACTATTTTTTAAATTAAAATTTTCAGTTTTATATAAAAATAATAAATATTACGGTAAAACATAATACAGAACAAAGTCGTGCAATCGAACCTTTAATAATGTTTAAACTACCGCATTATACTCAGGAATGTTTCCATTCGAAATGTCTACAAATAAGAACCGAATGAAGACCATTCCAGTGAATGTCCGTTGTTCGGAGGTTGGACTGTAATAATAAACATTTTTTTAAAATTAAGCAGATGAAACTGGTGTTAATCGACCTCTGGAACAGTGCAGCGTGTTGAGAATTGAATTTTACCACCTCGTAGTGTCTACAATATAGTAGATTCCGTGTAATGGAGCCATCGGTTATGTGGGATAGCCATTTATTTGAGCAACAACCAGAGAACAGGAATAAGTCAATACATTTAATTCAAATATGCGTGCTTATTTGAGACAGTGATGATTACAATTGAATGGCAAACTAAAGACAGTGTGCTTCTGTGAAGTCGTATGGGTTTAAAATAAAAATATTCTCCAAATATTGTTATCGAATTTGCTAGGCCTAAACGGTTGGAACAAAACAAAGCGATTTTAGTGTCTAATCTTGTTTGTTTACCACAGCAATTTGAAATCTACAGGAGATTTCAGAAAGACATTGTAGAACGTAGCTATTAGCTACCAATGGAATAATTCGTTTCACATTTAACGGATGATACTATTAGTTTGCGTATTTAGTTGCTTATTACCTAATCTTTCTAGTGAAAGACAATTAAAGTCTCCAAGTTGGACTATTTGTGCTATTGAAAAATTAATTAACCACACTACGTCTTGTTGTGGGCAAGTGGCTGTTCTTGAGTATTGCTTGTTCATCTTTAATTCTGGTGTTTTTTAAAGATAGTACAGTAGACCCCCCCCTATAACGCTTAAATACGTTCCACGTTAATCGAATTTTACGTTGTATGAATCGTTAAATACATGAGCCAATCGCAGCCCGACACGTGTGAAGTTTACGGACTAAGACTGTTTGAAAGATTTTCTTCTAAAAAATTAACCGATTCTAGTCTAATTCCACTCAACATTTCCAAAATACGTATAATTTTTTGGGAATAATCCGTATAAACTATGCTATAAACAAAAAAGTCGTAGGATTACTTACCGAGTATGCACCGTTCGACTACGCCGTTGCTCAAGCTTGTTTTCGTCGCGGAACAGTGCACGAAACGGCGGCCGCGATATCTGATAACGAATTTTTCGCAGAAAAATAACTTGACCTTTGGAGACATCATTAATATAAATAATTTTTATGGCCGTTGAATAAGAAATGTTTCTTTCACAAGAAATGTGTAAAATTAGTGCTGTATTAGACTTACGTTACCTAATTTACATACTGTACAAACGATAATAAACTCAACTTACTAGCCTAAACTCTCCGTAGCGTGGCGCTAGACGGCGGAAATTATATATATAATTATAATAAAGTTACAATAAATTAAGTTAATATATAATTACTAGCAGGTATGCCCGGCGTTGCTCGGGCAAAAGTAACGATAGTGAAGATTAAGATTATTACATTATAGTCAACCTTACCCGTTTTCACAGAATGCAAGAATTGGGTCCTCCTGTTTCTGGACTAATTAGAGAATTTTTAGATGGGTCTAAAAATATGTTCGATTTCCCACAAAAACGAAAAAAACTGCATTTGCGTCTTGCACGTCGCTTTCTCTTAACAATTTCATTGTTAAGTAACACTTCCATTGTTAACACTTACATTGTTACTTAAAACTTTCATTGTTACTTAGCACTTCCATTGTTATTTAACACTTCCATTGTTACTTAATACCTCTATTGTTGATGGAAGTGTTAAGCATTAATACTGTTCCTCTCCCCCGTGGGGAGGAATTTCGAAAAATCCCTTCTTAGTGCGCATTTTCGTGATGTACCCTAACTGTGTACCAAATTTCAACTTTCAACTCCTAACCGTTTGGGCTCTGCGCTTATTATTATTATTATTATCATCAACCCGTCTCGATTATATATATAGATATATACAGTACCTAATTTATATATAATCTATATATATATAAATGAATATAAAAATGAATGTGTGTGTGTTTGTCTGTCCTTCATGCATTACCACACCGTTTATCCGATTGCCGTGAAACTTTGGGAAGTTGTTTAATATAATCCGGCGAAGGTTTATGGCATAGTACGATTGCCATAAAACTTCGGAAAGTTTTTTAATACACTCCCGCGAAGGTTTTTGGCATAGTACATTTATCCTACGATAGATGGCACGCGTTTACACGAGCATTCGAGCACAGTGTGTTCGATCAATTTCAAATTGTGAAGACCATTTCCCCCTTCAAAAAATATTTCTATATATGCATTTGTGAACTGTTATTTACGATATTCGTAATAATGTTTGTTTAATCACTTTATTTCCAACTTTTTTTTTTTTTTTTGCTAATTACGTATTCGCTCGAACTTTGTTAAAACTTTAACTGTATACCGAACAACAACCGAAGTTGTAGAAGGAAATTCGCCTATTTTACCGATCTAGGGATCCCCCTTTCCAAATTTTAATATCATCTAATAATTTAAAAAGACAAATTACAATAAAACGGTTTATTATCCAACTATCAGAAATTTCACAACACGCCAAGGAAGAAAGGAAGGAGCAATTAAATAATCAAAATTATAAAGGATTTAAAAATATATATAAAAATCGCACTTCTGACAATCGCAGCGAGTGTGTGGGCTAAATTTGGAGAATCCGTGCTTCTCGCATGGACAACTGTATGTGGCCGGCTCACGCGTCGAAAAACCTTCCGATTTATTCGTGTACGCACCAGACGGAAAAACAAAAAATATCGTGTATCCACAAACACTCCAATAAATAAATAGAATTGAAACGACACTTTGAAATGTTTTCCCGATGAAAATGAATAATAATAATAATAAGTTTCAATAAAAATAATAAAATGTAAATTGAATTTTATCATAACGAGTTTGCTTGAATTTCCTTTCTTCTGAGATCGCAGCAATGCGCGACGGGTAAGCTAGTTAATATATAATACTGTACAGACGATAGCAAACTCAATTTAGCCGCCTAAACTCTCCGTAGTGTGGCGCAGGGCGGAGGAAAGTAGTTCGGCTGCTCATCCACTATTGGTCCAGATTCTATCAATCTTGTCGCGACACGAGTCGGCGACGACGTTTTAAAAGTTCCTTTATAAGAATATTGCTACAATTTTTTCTCTACGTTACAGGAATTTCCGTTATAGGAACCCACGTTATAGGGGAGTCGACTGTATAAGATAAACATCCAATATTTAATTAATTTACTAAAACTTTATATATTTTATACATTATTATACATGTTTATTAGATTACTATGGAAAAGTGATTTTTGTTTTTTAAGCGTATCCGGATATGCTCACAGTTTGGCCAACAGTTTGATTGGGCCGTATGATCTATTCCCAGATGTGGCCCAATGAAGCGAAATTTTCAGTATTTTATCATATCCTGATGTGGATTTCTATGTTTCTGCTAATGTATTCCACGTCTCCTTACAGTACCATTTTGATTTTCTATAAAAGACTGCTTCTTTTCAAATATTTTATTTCAGTCAGTGAAATTATCATAGCTTTTTTACATTAAATACATTTATCCATTATATTACATACATGTCCCAAAATATATGTATTTACTAGGATCGCATTGATTGTGTTTAATTAAAGCCTGAAATTTTTGCCAATAAAGATTTGTGCTTAAATCTAGAGTTCATTATGTGTGTTTCAAAATAGAAACAATTCTATTAGTAGTGATTTTAGAAACTCGATTCCTTTCAAGGTCTGTTCCAGAATATCTTAATTCAGTTCGTACGTAATAATTTTCGCTATGTTCATATTCCCAGTCAGCGATATTTACGAATATCAAAATAATTGTATCGCTGTTTAATCTGACAATTGAGTCCAATTTTAGTTTAGTTGTTTAAAACTCGAGGAATGTCTTTGTTTACGCATGTAAACAGAACCGAACTGCTACGCGCATTTTGTACGTCCCAATAAACTAGTTTAAGTCTATGGCAAAGTTTTCCGGTGATACCTTACGAAATTCACCTGCCTAGACTTAACGGTCATACCAAATTTCGTCGAAATTAATCAAACGGTTTCGAAGAAGTTATTTAAATCCAATGACATTTCAGTGCATAGAAATGAGTTTCGCTCGCTTAGCTCAATAAGATACGTTCCAGTTCCAAGAAAACAGTATATCATTTAGCAATAGTCTAGTCTTAGCTCTGGTTCAGTGAGTAAAAGAAATGAATTTTAGAACTTACATTTGCCATATCCGTGCATCGTGTCTTATTGTAAGTCTCCTATAAAATACGTAATTGCTCATATATTTTATTTTATTTCTATTATTAATATTATACAATCAAGATAAGTATGTAATTGTTTCTTTTAAATTAAAGGAAATGTTAATGAAAAGGACCATAGTGACTACAGAAAAACATTAGAACTTTTTACTTTAATTACTTAAATCTATTTCGGGAATAGAAAAATTCGATTGAGAATAGAAGTTTGTGCAATATTTACTTGTAAAAAATAATTTGATGCCAATAAAACAGTGACAATTTAACAAGAAAATTCAAGATTAAAATCGAAAATAAATAGTCCCAATATAATTTAACTGTTTTCATAAATGTGTGCATTAATAGTCTCATTGATGAATTAGAGCATATCTACCAAATTCATAATTATTTATTTATTTTTTCTTAAATTATTGAATTTACTATACATTTTAACGTACAAAAGAAGGAACAAAGATGAAACTGTATTTTTAAGAAGAAAACAACAGAAAAATTATTTGTAGATTTATTTACGTTCGATTTTAATGTTTCTGTCCTTTGAATTAGAGTACAAAATTTTAATTAAAATATGAGATGTGAGGGTCTCAGGTATACCCCGTCTCACGTGGGTATACCTTTATTAGAAACCTGACATCACTTATTGAGTTCTGAGAATTAAGATGCGAACTAAATTATTAAATACGTTACCGAAGTTCATAGGAGGGTCTGTTTTTAAACGTAAATATGACGATAGAGTTAGGCATAAAGAGAAATAATTAATAGACGAAGCTAATGATTAATAGATATATTTAATAAAATGAACTAAGATATTCTATATACAACTGTAATGAAAAATATATTTAAATGATTAATGAAAGTGATGAGAGAGAGTTTACATAAATTATATTACACAGTTGTCTTATACGTAACCAGAATCTTTAAGTTCGAACTTGTCTCATGGTAGGTCAAGGATAAAAGCTAGATGATGAGCAGTGAGCTACGCTAAACTATACTTAAGCTGAACTGAAATAGTTACTTAGCTAGCTTAGCTTTTAGAAGTGACCTATCACCTTTTATAAGAATTCTCCTCCAATCAACTTGTTTGAAATAAGCCTCCACGCTTCCGACCCGTGACGAAAATAGGGCGGTTTACGGATAGAGTGTGAGAAATCCCACACTAAACTATCGCTTTCGACGAAACTGTGTCATTTTCCTCCATGTAAACAGGAAGTTCCTTTTACAACTTCGTCCAATTTTTACAAAACAGATAAAATTCTATCAAAAATTATAACAAAAGTTTGTTATTTAATTTAACAAATTAAATCGTTAACCCTGGATTCTCACAAAAATAAGATCCGTTACTATTAAATTATAATATGAATTTTTAAATTTTATATATAATCAATTGTCTGCTTTTGTAATGTTTTCATTGTTATGAGTTTCTAAAACAAACTTATTTTTCATAGTTATTAAAATAATACTACTACATCTATAATAGCCTGTTTTTTCTTGTCTTTCCTATTTTTGAAATTTTTTGCTAATAAAATATTACTAAACTAACTAATTTATTATAAAAAGGCATTTAGCCAGCCATAGATCTACAATAGTTGTGTGACAAGACATTTTTAGAGATTTCTCCAACATTCCATGACATTTTTATCAAGAGCAACTTCAGTTTATATCTAAGCACATTTTTAGAGCATTCAATTCTAGTAATTTGAATTGGACAGTAAAATAATAGTTCAATTCCAGTTACTAGGAGGGATTCTAACCTTATTTTGATTTCAAACTATTATACTGTAACTGTCTTGCACAAGTCAGAATTTTCTAGACTGAAAATAACAAGTGTTGCCAGTATTTTTTTATAATCTCCATATTTCCATTATTTTATGTTTTATTTATTGAATGATAAGTCTACAGCATTTATGAACTTAAATATTATAAAAACATATTCAAACTATATGAAAACATAACAAACATTCAATATAGAATCTTTAACAATGCAGTTTAAAGTAGAATATTTCTTCATGTTTAAAATAATAATTTGTTAGAAAATGATAAATCATTATTTTAAATATAGAAAGAAAACTTGTAATCCAGATCTGGGGTTCAGCTAAAACCAAAGCTTATGAAAAACACCAGATTTTTTTAAAGTTAATCTGTTGAAAATGAAGTTAATGCCAAATGATCAGTTGAATTATTGGACTATTTTTGGGCTACATTAATGATTAGTTACTAATTAATTTCATTGGAAGTAGGCAGATTTGCTGCCATCTTGTATTANATTTTGACGGTATATTTAATATACTCATTTTAAATTATATGTTTAATTAATTAAAAATTAAAATTAATTGAAAACTATACAGGGTCTATCATTAAAGTACGCCGCTGAGGGTCTATAAAAGTGCAACTTTGCAACGTCATCAAAGAAACTGTTCAACATCTTTTCTGTCATTCTCGTCACACATTGCAATCGTGTTATCGAATTAGCAACAGTATACAGCAACTTCACCTGTATAAATCCTATATGCATGTGTAATCCTGTATCCTTTTCGTATAGCCCGTAACCAGGTGTAAAATCGATAAACGAACAGGCCCATTGCATTGTAAAAGACTGAGAGATCGCCCTTTCATCGCCATGTGTTTTAGACGGTATGTCTCTCATAACGACTGTGGTGTGATGTGATCTTGCAGTCTTGCATAAACTTAACGCTACTCAAACATCCCCTCTGCTGTAGTTTACGAATGATAAAAGTCTGCAGCACGACTTAATATCACTATTATTATGTAATGCTGCTGCGACAGTTGCACCGTTATAGACCCTAGCGGTGAAAATTGTAACTATTTTTGAAACTTTTCCTTTGTTTTCCAGTGTCGAGATAAACATGCCTGTATAGTTTTATCGATCTATCTCTAGCAGTTTTGTCTCCGGAGTGGTCTAAAGTGGTATACTTTAATTATGGACACTCTGTACAGTACATACCTCGCTTATCTTATCTTCTTCATCCAGCTCACAACATTTTTCACACTAGAAAAGCAATACTTAACAATTATTAAAAGATAGATTAGAAAAATTAGAAATTCAATTTTAGGAAAAAAATAAACGTTGCACAGAATCCTCTTTTATTTAATAAAACAACAAAACTTAATGCTTAGCAATGACATTGTTGTAATTAATTAAAATAAGACATTATGCAACGTTAATTTTATTTCTTTACTTTTGGTGTGTACATAAACATGCTACAATTATTTTTATCTAACAATGCACAACATTAATTTATTGAATCAAAATCTGACTCAAAAGATCTATTATGGCGATATTTTTATATCGCCATAATAGATCATTTTTCTCCACACATCTCCTTCAAGTCAATATAAAAAGTCAAAAGTTATTTATAAATATTTGAAATAGTCCCGTACGAAACAAAGTGTTTCTAATGGCGCATCATTGATTCTTCACCCGTATTTATTGCCTAGTTTCGGTCTTACGAAAAAGCTCTTTTTTATTCTGTAATTGTGAGAAGAATATCTAGCAATTAATTAATCTTAAAAAACTAAAATTTGTTTCCTTTCGTCTACTTTGTTGAAAATCATTTAGCCATCACGCTATTGGAAATTACAAAAGGTGGGGTGTGTGAGCCTGCGGCGCTATCTACGGGCCTGAGCGGAGGAATGAGCGAATTTCGCGCAAAATTTCGACTTTGTAATTTAATTTCTTAACGCGATTGTTATAAAAAAAACATCGCTCTAGAATGGATCAGATGACGTTCTCTCTAAACAAACGGAGAGGAATTTTGACAACAAGATGGCAAAAGGAAAACATTCGATTGTGAAAGAGGAACAGCTGCTATTAAACGTCATTGGAATAAACCTATGCCCGCACCTGGGAATGAACTTTCGACATGTCAATAGTCGATCACACGATCATTTTCCCAGCCATCAAGCATAAAAAGGTGGAGACACCGAAGTTCCAGGCGGTCGTCCCATACAAAGTCCAAAGGAAGGTGAATAGATTAATTAATGCCCGAAGTAATCAACGACTAGGTGCCGAGTTCAGCGGACCTCCTCAAACGGACCGTCCTGGCCCATGCAATTCAAAGATCAGAAGACCCGCAATACAATCGCCAGTCCTCTTCGAATTCCTCTCTCTCCGATCGAACGAACGTCATCTAATTTGACCAACGAATATTGAGGTATCTATAGATTATAATAAACTCTCTCTCTCCGGAAGTAGCGACAGAGCTAGGTCATTAGGTCAGCATGCGAGCTGATTAGAAACTTTTGTCCATCCCCTCCATAGGAGTGTATATGTAACCTCATTTATCCGCATCTAACTTAGGCTCAGTTATATGTCTCATAGGTTTAGTTCTATAATAAATTCCTGTTGTTGTCTGTTACAATGATCACGGACGAATTCCGAAAATTTCCAATTTGGAGGAGATTGTACAAATTGTAAAAGCCAAACAATTTCTTTCCACCCTAACGAATATCGCACTCCTGCTTATACGTAAAGACGAAATTAAAACATTTACATTAACCAACGAAAATACAAGTTATTCATTTCTTTAGCTCCTATGTAAATATGAATGCTCGTAACAGTATAAGAATAGATAATCCATATAGGCCTATAATATTTCATTTCGATACAATTAATTTTATATATAAAATGTATGAAATTAATTTATTCGAATGAAATATTACAGGCATATATGAATTATCTATTCCTAAAATATATTTTGTTTCATTAAATAACTATTTATTAAAATAATAAAAAAATCATTTACAAAATGCATCAGAATATTTTAATATTATTTACTTCTCTTTTTTAATCTTTAATATGTAATTTATTTAGTTACAAATTAGCATTATATTAATAAGTATTAAGTTTGTCTTTTATTTATTTATATATACAGTAGAGCGTCGATTATCCGAATCAATTGGGGACTGGGGTTGTTCGGAAGATCGATGTTTCGGATAACCGATCATGTAGGAAAAATATATTAATTTATCCCATCTTGACATTTTTTTCCGTTGCGCGTCGCTTCGCGTTGAATTTTCGTCGATGTTAAGCCTAACGAAGACTATTGTATCGTTAAAAATTATTTTTTTATTTTGTACAAACAAAATAAATATATTGAAAAATATAAAAACAATAAAAAATTATACTTTAGAAGTTAATTTAGTATCAAAAACGTAAAATATTTGAGTAGCCCAAGACGTAGCCAAAGATTACAGCGCCACAGCACTGGCGAAAATTTAAATTTGCCCACTGGAATTCTTTCCGATGATTGGCTTTCGGATAATCGACGCTCTACTGTACTTTTAATAATTCTATCTTACCTCTTCTGACATTACACTAGTCAGTACATATATCATCTGTAATTATAATTAAAAAAAGGTTGTATTATATTTAATTTCAAATAGATGTTAACAATACAACAGTATTGTAAGATTTTATCAATAAAAGTTGTTCGTGTAAATTATTAAAATAAATTACATTAGATAAAAAGTTTTTGCTTTTCAATACAGATTAGGTTTTATCGATTAAAACTATAAGATTTTCTGGCAATGTAAGGTTACACCCGTACAAAAATTGATGATTTCGATGTAGTTATTCGATAAAAATGCAATTGTTGATAGGATTATTTCAATTATTAATGTTTTATTATGTCTTATGAAATAAAAGGTAAGATTTTCTATATAAAGTTTTGAATATAATACAACTTAAAAAATGAAAATTACTATCTTGAACAGTCAGTAGTACTTCTACATCACGAGGAATACTCTTTATATATTTTTTATTTTTGTTCATATAAATGGGGCCACGCTGCCATTCTTTACCGAGAACCTCTATCACTTCTCTTTTCGTAGTAGAAATTTAATTTTTTTATATTTATAGTGTTGTCATATTTAAAAAAAAAAAAACTTATTAAAAGTGTATCGGATAAAATAGGGAATAAGAATATATAAAAAAAATTACTCATTCCTTAAAAAGTATTACGAAAAAAAAAGAAAATAGTTTAATCATTTGGCAAGGTATTATACAGTCGACCCCCCTATAACACGGTTGATAAAACCGTTTTATATGAATTCCATGTTGTACGAGTCACTTAGATTTTACAAATACGTGTGCCGGACTGTGAACGGCTCACGTACAACATGGAATTCATATAAAACGGTTTTATCAACCGTGTTATAGGGGGGGTCGACTGTACTGTAATGTAATCAGTGTAACTAAGCTGTTCTTTATAACGTCTGTTTGAAATAAATATTAAATTCTCATTGATTTTCCTCTCCTGTAATTATTATACATGTTTACATATAATGTTAAAACATATTCATCATTCATGATTGAATTACATCTATTATAATACAGCTTATACCTAAACATTTAAAGTTATTTCGTTAACGTTATTTTCTAAATTAAATAACAAAAAAAATAATACGTATAAATGTGAATGTAATTAAAATATACATTACCTTCATTGTAATATTAACGCCATTATTTTCGCAATCTTTATATTTTAACTGTAAACAAATATTATTTATTAAGTCACTAAAAAATTCAGATATATCTCTTTACAATAATACAAAATCGTGTTATTATTTATGGAGTTATAAAAATAACCAGTAATTATTTTATTGTGACATCGTCACAATGCCGGGCTTCAATTTTTAACCACAATTTTGAATTTATTTCGTTTAAAATATACGCTCTCCACCTCAAATGAGTAGTGGCTTGCCCCTGTACATCATACTTTTCCTTTAACAAAGTCGTTCCAGTCATCTATCTAACTCTTTCAGAGAAAATTGTTGAATCGATAAAACGTCACTTCCGCTTTGCATATAGTTAATCGGGGCCTTCTGCCCCTAAGCTTTCATTACCTATTCTTGGCTTTTACCCATCTCACTTCTTTCTACATATTGAATTAGCACAAGCAGATGGACACAGTAGAAATTTATAGGTCTACAATTTTTTTTTTTTTTTCAAATTTCAGCCCAATAACTGATGTAATGTATAATAGAAAAAACTTACTATACAATTTTCCGTCAATCTTTTATCACATAATTCCTGAAATTCAAAATATAAAATAAGAACTACCAGTTTAAGAATAAAACATGATAAATTCATTAGAAATTATATTTACCTCGTAATATTTTGGTTCTTCTTTTTTCTATATTTAAAATAATATTGTTTATATATTTCAATTTTCATCGAGTTTTTATATAATATACAGTATTATAGATTTAAATAAATACATTAAATATTTTAACATTTAATTGATATCGTTTACATCTTTTTTACATTATAAGTTCTATAAATAAATAAATAACAGTAAGAAAAAAAAATATATATATATATATTTACTTCATCATAACTATCCAGGCACTTTTTATAATCCTGAAAAAGTAAAACAAGTTAATAGACGTATTTTTATTAAGTTTTAATGATTAAATCTTTACTTCTTATGAAATATTTTCAACATTTAAAAAAATAATAATAAAAGCTTTTTGTATTTTCATTTTTGGCTCTTTTTACTCTATGGGCACTAACTGAGAAAACCTACTTCCATATGNATTTCAAAATCTCTTAATTTTATTATATAATTCAATTTATTCCCCTCGAAAGGAATACAATTAATGAGTTAAAATTAGAAAAATATTTTCTTCGTTAAATAATACCAGAAAATATGAACCATTAACATTTATTAATTCATTGCAACTTATAAACAGTACGATTTATTTCGTATTATCAAGGACGGTCTTTCCTGCTGTGTTAAAACAAATTAATATTGCGAGCGCGCTGGGGCATACAAGCACGTTCTGTCCTCCTGTTTAAAGCCCATAAATCGCGTAACAGCCCAAAAATTACGTAACTCGTATCCTCGATTAACCCACTTAGTTGTATTAAGGAATAATATACGCAGGAGGAACCTAAAGTACTGTACATTACTTTATTAATTCGGTGTAAAAAGTACAAAACAGAGTCATAAACACTGCAGTTTACTATGCCATACACTTCAGAAACACTGAAGAATCATTCTGTTAATGAGAATATAAATTTAATTCGGTGTAAAAAGTACAAAACAGAGTCATAAACACTGCAGTTTACTATGCCATACACTTCAGAAACACTGAAGAATCATTCTGTTAATGAGAATATAAATTTAATTCGGTGTAAAAAGTACAAAACAGAGTCATAAACACTGCAGTTTACTATGCCATACACTTCAGAAACACTGAAGAATCATTCTGTTAATGAGAATATAAATTTAATTCGGTGTAAAAAGTACAAAACAGAGTCATAAACACTGCAGTTTACTATGCCATACACTTCAGAAACACTGAAGAATCATTCTGTTAATGAGAATATAAATTTAATTCGGTGTAAAAAGTACAAAACAGAGTCATAAACACTGCAGTTTACTATGCCATACACTTCAGAAACACTGAAGAATCATTCTGTTAATGAGAATATAAATTTAATTCGGTGTAAAAAGTACAAAACAGAGTCATAAACACTGCAGTTTACTATGCCATACACTTCAGAAACACTGAAGAATCATTCTGTTAATGAGAATATAAATTTAATTCGGTGTAAAAAGTACAAAACAGAGTCATAAACACTGCAGTTTACTATGCCATACACTTCAGAAACACTGAAGAATCATTCTGTTAATGAGAATATAAATTTAATTCGGTGTAAAAAGTACAAAACAGAGTCATAAACACTGCAGTTTACTATGCCATACACTTCAGAAACACTGAAGAATCATTCTGGTAATGAGAATATAAATGTTATATTTTTTTCAAAATTTCTGTTATATTTTACTATTATTGTTTTAATGGAAACGATATGAAATAAACTTATAAACTTTAAAATTTTAATCGTAAAAATTTGAAAACTTTTAATAAAATTGTATTAATAGTTTATGTTAAAATAACAAAACTCCTGAATAAATATTGAGAACGAGAAACTTAAAATGTCATTGTTTAATGGCGTTACATGACGAGGTAAGAGGAAATACTATGGCAGAAGTCACGTAATAATTTAAAAAGGCAAGGATAAACGGATTAATTTGTATATTTGAAAAATATACAAATTTCTTTACGTATCCTGATATTCATATATTTAGTGATTAATTGTTACAGGGTGGTGAGTATTATATTTACCAATTTCGAATGAGAAGTAAAAGACGGTGAGAAATTGTAGAAACTTTATTATTGTCATTAAATAGAAAAAAAAGGTATGTATTTAACATCTCGTACATTACTGTATGTGATATTAAATGTGTACGTGAGGTTTACCATTTAATGGCCAAATAAAGTTTCTTCGGTTTTTTACTTGTCATTTGAAATTGGTAAATATAATACTTGTTCCGTTCTGTATATCGTTTCCTTTGACTCACTTTCTGTCATACTGTGTTAAATATTAATTATATTCTTTTTAATTATCTAAATACAGTGGTGCCTCGTATAACGTACTTAATCCGTTCTAGGTGCACGACCGTTAAGTGAAAAGTCCGTTATACGAAACGCATTTTCCCATAGAAATACGTGTTAAAACATATAATTCGTTCCGCAGCATAAAATAAGCATACTGTATCATAAAAAAATGAAAATGGAGCAGTCACCAATTATGCCGGGTAGTCAGATAATGTGAAAAGGAGGTGGAGGAACACTTTCTTCACACATTCATACAGATACAGACTTTTTACACATTGCAACAGGTCTCTTTTTATCGTTTTTAGATTCAGGAGAGGCTACCGGAGCTTGCATGTTCAACTCCTCTTGTTCCATCCTTTGTTTTTTACCTGCTGGTTTATTGAAAAACACATCCAAGGTGGTCTGTTTCTCTCTCTTCTTCAACACCTGTCGGAAATGACGGGCAAGGGAGATCATTGATCCTGTTGGACTCAGCTCTGGATAATGAGTGTTTGTAAACTCCCGAACCTCTCCCCATTCGACAAAGAAGTTTTTGTCAACTTTCACTCCTTCTGATGATTTCTTGCTTTATTAAAATTGAAATCACCTTTGTTTTTTTAGAAGCCATGATTTACACAACACTTGAATAAATGTAAATACCTTGCACTGAGGCGATGTACTGTACAGTACGTAATAAACAAGGGAGCGAGTCGAATCCCAACGGGAGCTCCATACTTTAGATATACAGTCGACCCCCCCACCTATAAGACGGTAGATACGTTCCGTTCTTTATGAATCGATTTCTTACGAGTCCTTGCCAATCACAGCCCGACACGTGTGAAGTTTACGGACTACGGCTGTTTGAAAGGTTTTCTTCCGTAAAATTAATCGATTCTAGACTAATCCGACTCAACATTTCCAAAATATGTATATATATTTTTTGGGGGGGAATAATCCGTATACTACGCTATAAACAAAATATTGTAGGATTACTTACCGAGTGTGCACCATTCGATGCACCATTCGACATCGCCATTGCTCAAGCTTGTTTTCGTCGCGGAGCAGCGCACCAAACCGCGGCCGATTTCTGATAAGTTATTTTTCTGCGAAAACTTCGTTGAACTTTGGAGACATCATTAATATAAATAATTTTTATGGCCGTTGAATAAGAAATATTTCTATCACAAGAAATGCATAAAATTACAGTACTGTATTAGACTTACGGTACCTAATTTACGTACTGTACAGACGATAGTAAACAACTTACTCGCCTAAACTCTCCGTAGCGTGGCGCTAGACGGCGGAAAGTATATATATAATTATAATAAAGTTACAATAAATTAAGTTAATATATAATTATATGTACAGTACCTAATTTATATATAATTTATATATAATACTGTACAGACGATAGTAATCTCTCCGTAGCGTGGCGCTGGATGGCGGAAAGTAGTTCGGCTGCCTGATGACGTTTTACGTAATTATAGGAGTTTTTTTACCGTTTTTTACGGATGCCGTTGCAATTTTTTCGCCGTCTTATAGGAATCGTAATTATAGGAACCCGTCTTATAGGAGGTCTACTGTACTAATAATATATTCTAATAATGCTAATATATTATAAAAATAGCAGATTGTCATTGGCAACGGCAAAAGAGTGGAAACATCATTCGCACTTGTTTGCCTCACGTAACTGTCGAACGGAAAGTCCGTTATTCGAGGCGTACGTTAAACGAGGCACCACTGTATAATATATTTATGTTTGTATGACATTTTCCATTGCGACAAGAACGCTCGAAGCAGCAGCTTAAATGCAAGAGCTTATTAAAATTTCTTACTTGCATAATATGAATCGATAACTGGATGGCCGAGCAATTAGGGTGGAAGCATACCATTCTGGTGAATCCGGGATCAATCCGAACGGGTGGAAATCCATTCGGCTATTCAACCGTCGCCAATTTTTACTTTACGATGTGACTTAAAATTATATACAGTTGACCCCCTATAACACTGTTGATAATTCCGTTTTATATGAATTCCATGTTGTACGAGTCACTTAGATTTTACAAATACGTGAGCCGTTCACAGNATATATATAATTATAATAAAGTTACAATAAATTAAGTTAATATATAATTATATGTACAGTACCTAATTTATATATAATACTGTACAGACGATAGTAATCTCTCCGTAGCGTGGCGCTGGATGGCGGAAAGTAGTTCGGCTGCCTGATGACGTTTTACGTAATTATAGGAGTTTTTTTACCGTTTTTTACGGATGCCGTTGCAATTTTTTCGCCGTCTTATAGGAATCGTAATTATAGGAACCCGTCTTATAGAAGGTCTACTGTACTAATAATATATTCTAATAATGCTAATATATTATAAAAATAGCAGATTGTCATTGGCAACGGCAAAAGAGTGGAAACATCATTCGCACTTGTTTGCCTCACGTAACTGTCGAACGGAAAGTCCGTTATTCGAGGCGTACGTTAAACGAGGCACCACTGTATAATATATTTATGTTTGTATGACATTTTCCATTGCGACAAGAACGCTCGAAGCAGCAGCTTAAATGCAAGAGCTTATTAAAATTTCTTACTTGCATAATTATTAAAATTTCTTACTTGCATAATTATTAAAATTTCTTACTTGCATAAAGAGCTTATTAAAATTTCTTACTTGCATAAGTCCCGTTTACGAGTAGGCAAATTTGATGATTTAGAAAATTTATACAAAATACTGTACTTAAAAAAAATGTTTTCAAAAATATTTATTATTATTGTAAAGGTGTTAAAGCTTAAAACATTCTTATAAATTCATATAAAATTTAATTAAATAACGCTTTATTTTATAAAATATAGACAATATACATTAAACGTAATGTATTTAAATTAAATAAAACTAACTTATAAAAATTATATAAAACATTTTCGTGCTTTTTTTATCTGCAAAATTCTTTATTACATCTTCAATATTTATTTCACGTAATCATGACCGTTAAATAATTTAAACGTTCTTGTGTCACGGATGTTCTCAACACATTTTTAATAATGAGTAGTTTAGAAAATGATCTTTCACCGGTTACATTGCATATCATTAGCATTTCAACGTTTGGAAAAGATTCTCGAACTTCTTTTTCTATAATTAACGAATACATTTCTATATGAAATCTCAGATAAATGTGCAATCTTTATCCGAGATTTTAATCAAGGATCGCTAAATGAAAGAAACATCAAATTTATTGATGTTTCTTTCATTTAGCGATCCTTGCGACACCTTTTTTTTCCTCTCATATCTAAACAAATATGAATATGAAAACCCTGTACTGTTTGGTCTAACACTGGGTGTATGGTAAAGTATTTATATATAATGTTTCCAATTGTGTTTACTCCTTCTGCTCCCTGGGTACTAACAGCGCATTTTTAATCATAGGTATCGTGCAATTTGCCTAAGCTCACGATACTTAACAGAATCTATGATGGGTATTATTGTGGGCCTAATAGTAAGAGATATCCGAAATGAGCCCGGCCATCCCTGAAAAATTCATGGTTATTTACTGGATTCCGTGCCGAGTGCACCAGAACATTAAGTTGATGTTTTCAATCTCTCGGCCATTTGTACGCTTATTTTCAATCAATAACTATTTGTTTTGTAATAATTTACACAAGTATTGTTCATTTCCCTTATAGCATGCATTTTCCTATTGTTCTTCGAAGATAAAAAAGAAAATATACGAATATAAAGATACTGTATTTAGATTACTCATTTCACTTGAAGATATGAATTGTTCGAAAAGAAATTTAGTCTCCACAAAACGTACTTAATAAAATGAATTAATAATCCAGGTAATTTTTTTTTTAAAGTTCACGTTCTCAATGTATAAGCTTATAAAAATTTCACAATATCCATAGATAATTTCGGACAAAATTAATACTTAAACTGTCGTGTTTCCTTAAATAAAGATCACTTTTTGGGCTGCAATTTTCAAAACACCAGCGAGTTGCTTAACTTTCTCGGCGCCATTTCTTATATTTTTAACTATTATAAAATATCAAAAAAATTAATTTCGAGGGTAGGGATGAATTTTATAAATTTTAAATACTAATAATAAGTAAAATCATTAAGTCCGACCCTACTGAAGATACACATGCCACCCATTATCTCCCCACCCCGTCGACCTATAACCACTAATTCCCCTAATACAGAAACCTCCATGCAAAATTTCAGACAGACTCAGAAGCTTCGAAGTGGGTGAACAAACTCGCGCCACATACAAATTCTTTTGCATTTCTCCGTTAACGTCCAGTGTCCAAAAATGTAAAAATCTTGGGGCTCATTTCTTGACCGTATTTTCCATGCTATATAAAATAGCTGGAAAAGTAATAAATCTCCACTTAGCGCCATCGCCCGATGATTCATAAAGCGACGAAATCGCTGCCGTTCCTACACACGTTGCGCGAAATGGAAGGCGATTTTCAACGAATTATGGTACGTTTTTTAAATAACGGATAAACTTTAAACTGTTTGCACTTTTTCGAAATTTCCAACTTTATACTGTACAGTGTGTGGTGCTAAGAATGATAATTAAAAATATAATGTCACGTACACTTGAAATTATGGATGCTGCAATGATTGGCTGAGATAGAACTGCCACGTGAATATATATTTTGTGGAAGTACTCGAAGGCGATTTTAATGAGCAAGAGCAGTGACAAAGCGCGACTGAATCGAGCTAAGTGGAGAGCCAGCATAAAAGTGACGATATAATATGCGCTATAGAACAGCCATTTTTTTTTTTACTCAAAATTTTTAATCTTGTCACCTATCTCTGTTCTATATTTACCAAACAAATTTTACATGTAATACTTTTAATAGTTTGTTTGGTTTTTCCTTATATAAACTTGAAACTTAATGTTAAATTAGATTTAATATAAAGCCCACAACTAATCAGGTAATCAAACAGTTGGCATTTTGCTCTGTTCAGTTCTCTACTTTCAGAGCAGATATTGCACACACTATTTTAATATCAATTCTTTTTTATATCATAATCAAGTATTAGGTGCTTATTATCAATATGTAGAAAATATTTTTTTTTCATTTATCATCTAATTGAAGCATTCCAGACAAAGAATACAATTTTACATTTATTTACATATTTTAAAAAAGTAAAGAATTTTAGAAATATATTTTAACAGAAACCAAAATAACCATTTTTATGTACAGACAAATACCTAACAACATTGTAATAAAATAAAAATTTTCATTGCAGATATACAATGTGTCTAATCAGAAACTCTGGCCTATAAATAGTTTACCAGAACGTCTTCATAAATTTATGCAATAAAATATAGCATAAACAGACACAAATGTTTTACTGAATTATTCTGATGTAACTAATAAAAAGAAAATATCTGCATATGAAAACGGGATTACGCATCCTTTCCAGCGGACCGGAAAGGATGCTTATCGACCTCATCCGCCTCCCATCATCGGTGGGCTCCCGGGAGCGTCTGAAAAATAAAGAAAAACATAGACGATCATTATTTTATTTAAGTACAGAAAAACTAAAAGATATTTCTTTAAAATCAAATTGCTTAAAAGTAAGTTATTTAACGTAAGTTATTTAAGTTATTTAAAGTAAGTTAGTAAAAGTAACTTTCAAAAATAATTATATATAAAGATATTTAAAACATAAATCTAAATTACTAAACATCAAAGATTTAATTTAAGGTTGACTGTAACCTCTTTGCTGAAGATTGCATGCATAACCAGACAGCATGAAAAATTTAATGCTCTTTCTATGAAAAAATCCTTTTCCAGAAATTCTCAAACTTAAGCATATAGAATCAGTTTTTTTTTTTGCATTAAATCTTATTTGATCCTCTATTAATGTATGAGTAAAAATGGAATTTGTTAATTTTCTATGAATTTTTAAATTTGTACAAAATTAATTAACTCAATTAGTACATATGATTTTCATCCATTTTATTTTGTATTAGTCTTTGTATTCTATTTGTATTTCATATTATTCTTAATAACACAACAATAAAAAATTTAAAGAAAATCCGCTCTTCCACTTTATTAAAAGTGAAAAAATATATTTTCAATGCATCTGTAAATTTTTATATTTTTAATGTTCAAATGTCCATGCACACGCAAAACTGACTCCTTGAACTGGTTTGAACTGTTATTTTAGGATTAAAAAAAATTGAAATGTTGCACTCTATCTCAAAAAATATTTTATCCCAATAAACTTGACTCCTTGAACAGTTTTTAGTGTACAAACATTTCTTTACATACAAAGTCACTAAAACATTAAAGAAAGGTTTGAATGGCAGTTGTAAATGACAATCTTAATGTTCTCTAATGAATTCCCATTTTTCATTATCGACCTCACTGAATGGCAAAAATTACTTCAACCAATCCTTTTAAAAATTTTACACATATCAGAGAACCTTTTGTCTTTTCTGATAAATTAATGAATTTTATTAAATAAATCACCAATCTGGATTTATTTTGAATTACACCACTAGAGTGATATCAAACGAACCAAAACAAAACATTATTTGCAGCTTATTTAAGTTTGCACTCCATTTTTCAATATCAACAATTTCAATTATTTTTAGACTAGTTGATTGTTGTCTACCAAAGACCATTTATTTATTTAACATTCTTCCCTACTTTGTGTTCCTTCAGGCATTGTGTTACTATATTTATGTTAATTCTACCTTTCTTTCTAACATACATGATTAGTTACTTTTGTAAATGAAACTAACATTAATTACTAGTGATGAAAAGTAACCCTATTTCAGTCTTGTAAAAAAAAGTAATTAGCTACATAAGTTTTCTGGCTGTTATAAAAGTTATTTTTTTAAATAGAAAATCTCATACTAGGTATTTTCTGGGAAAATGAAACTGAGCTCTGCAGCATAGGTTTTATTCTTTGGCTTAACACGAAAACACAAATGTGCTTAAATACTTCTAACATTCTCTCTAAATCAGTTTAAAACTGCAGGTTTGAGGGAGGATAAGCATATCCAACAATATAACGAATTAAAACAAAAAATATTAAAAAACACACGTGTGCCTGAAGGCCATACATGCAAGTTTTCATAAACTGATTGTGACAATATTGTGCATGTTAAATGCCCATCATAAAGATCAGAATAAAAATGTCACGGATATCAATACGAGTGGACAGCAATCAGAAACTCAAGTCACATATAGAGGATTCCTACTGAAATTTTTATTTTGAATTCCATGACGTTCCCAGAGTAACTTTGTCCAAATTCCCTGACCCTGATAATTTTAAAACCAATCTTTCAACAAAAAGGGCAACTGATTTTAAACAGTAACATAATTTTAACAAAAAGTTAAACTTAAAAATTTTCAAATAAAGCATTTTTTCCATGTAAAAAAATTAATCAGGCTACCTAGTTTGATATTCAAAACTATAACATAGTAAAGTATTACTACAGGTATGATTAATGTTGACAGTTTTCAAACCCTAAGTTTGCCAAACTCAGTGATATTTGTTACCCAACTTTATGTCTATTAAACTAATTATTAAACTATGTATCAAAGTGCAGGAAATTAATGAATTCTGTAGTCCATTACAAAAATATATCTAATAAATTTTATATTAAAATTTTAATACACTGGAAAGAAATTGGAAATTACATTTTGTTACATAATAAAAATTATTAAAGTAAAAAAATGATAAATATTTGTAATTTATTGGTATTATTTATCAATTTTCACATTTTGTTCTCATTTTTAAAATCAATTCAGTAATATCTTACCTGGAATTAAGGGTGTGAAAGATAATTGTGTGGGGGTTCAGAAAAGGTTAAAATATTTTGGAAAAATTTAAATCCATGTAACATTATCAAGAGTATTGCAGATTATTCTCTCAAATTCATGATAAAGCATTTTTAAAATCTTGAAGATGTTTAAAATTTTAAAAGTCCGATTGATCTTACAGTATATTATATTAGGGACTGTTTGATCCCCAAAGCTTAAGCAAGCTCTCCTCAGCAATGCATTTTATAATAATTCTTCACATAAACAATTAATGTTACTTTTAAAAGTAACCTGCAACTAACCTTTGTATTAACTGTCAAAACATTAAATCACATAAAATCGCTTAATTTTTTAAAAATTTTGTTTTAAACTTCCAATTTTGAGTGCTTTTAAAATATATTCTAACAATATAATAGAAAACAAGTAAAACTTATCACATGCATTAAATTAAAATTAATTCTAATTGTAGAATTTCATCGGATGTCAATTTTATGAAAATTAATTTGAAAACAGTCTGTCTGAAATTGGTAACCACCATTTATTCACTTCGTGTGTCCAGAAAAAAAATATTTGACAACCTGACCTTTCTTTCTAGGCTGCTTGGCGGTCAAGTTTAAAAACATTCCTTCAAAAAACACAGCTTCAGCAGTTAAATTACAATGACAACTAATATGAAAATATGACAAACAGTATAAACTACAGGACAGAAGAAGAATTAGGGGTGAATTTCTACAAAATATAGTTCTGTAGAAATTCAACACTAAATAAAATTTGGAATAAAAGATAAATTAAAAGTTTCATCATGGAAAGAGGAAAAGCATTCTCATCGTGTGAGAAATCACACCTAGTCTAGTAGAGAAGATGAAACAAAAAAAAAAATCATCTGGAAGACCCAGTACATTGAATTCCCAAAAAATAGTAATTTTCAGGAAAATTAGCAATTCTACAATAAGTTCAAGGCTAATTGTACCTCCTTCAGCTATGTGTCAAAATCAACAGTATACAAAGTTATCAAATCATGTGATCACCTATTAAAGTAAGAAAATGAAACAAATTCTGCTTGTAAATAAGAACCACACAGAGAAGCCTTCGGCATGGGCTAAATATCACAACATGGACTTATAAATGGCAATAACAGATATGGAGTAGTGACAGCATTGATGGACCAGACAGCTGGAGAATCTTTTGGCATATTAGAAAAAATGAATAAATTCACTCAAGATGACAGCAATGTGCTGGAATTGTTGTGATGTGGTGGGAATTTAGATGAGGTGGTATGATAAATCTAGCTTTTATCTCTGGTTGTATTATTGCTGTAGGATATCAGCAAGTCCTAGATATGTACCTATTGCCATTTGAAAAAAAAAAAAAAAGCTGGGGGAAGTTTTTCCAATTTTGACAAGATAATGCACCCACTCAATGCAAAATCAACCTGGGACTGCTTTTTGGCAAATAGTTGCATGTTATAGGTCCCATTATGTTTTCATAATGTTAATCCCATAGAAAACATGTTTGGTATCTTAGTAAGGTCAATATATAGGAATGAAAAGCAATATCCATCAGTGGAATCATTAAAAACAGCAGTAACTGATGCTTGGCACAAAATCACATATGAGGAGGAGGCAAATGTTATTAAAACAATGCCAGATAGAGTTTACAAAGTAATTAATAAACAAGGTACATTTTATTTATTAAGCAATATCACTTATTATTTAAATGTTAAAAGTGGTTCTAAGTGATTTTATTTATTATTAATGTAATAAGCAATCAGTTATTGCATTATATTAAACAAAATAGACACTAGCATGCATGTACATGGAATTTTTTTGGGTTCAGTGTGTCTCAAAATGTGGAGAATTGTAAAAAAATCCAGAGGGTTAAATTTGATATAGTTACAATACTTTCCCTTGTTATCTATACTAATATTATAAAGAGGTAATGTTTGTAAGTAAGTTTGTATGTAGCGAGTAATCTCTGAAACTACTCATCCGATTTCAAAAATTCTTTCACCAATATTTAGAATGGAACTTAAGGGTGGACATAGGCTGTATACTATTCCGTTAAACATTCATATAAATTAAAAGACATCATCTAAGGTTAAGGCTTTTATGTCCAACAGATGGCACTACGAGTACGACGCCCTAAGTTTGCTTTACTGTGAGGATAAACTAAAGCAATCATCTATCTATCTATCTATCTAAATAAATAAATAAATAAATAAAAATGTAAAGTTTGTTTGTTCCTACTAATTCCTTTAAAATTTTGACACAACGCTGCATTCGAATATGCACGTGTTTTTATATAATATACATGTCGAAATTCCCCCCACTGGGGGAGATGGACAGGATTAAGGCTTACTGTGAAGAACTTGGCTTCTATTATACTATTTTAGATGCGGTTTTTGGCGTTTTTGATTGCGTTTTAATAGGGTATGTCAAGAGAATGTACACTAAGAAGGGATTTTTTGAAAAATTCCCCCCCACGGGGGGAAGTGTTATACATTTATAATAGATACATTTTGAGTCACAACAACACGTGGCGGGGTCTGCTAGTGTGTACATAACAGCCAGAAAAGTAACAAGAGAAACTTGTTCAACTACCACAAAATCAACTTTGTGATAGTTGAGTAGATAGTTTCAAAATCAAATCACAAAACATGCTTCAGGAAAAATAGTAGAATGTGCATCTTGTGCAATGGGAATACCATGTTCCACACTCTTAGCAATGTCATGACATCATGTGGCAAGTTCGAACAGAAAAGCAAAAACTGACACTGAGAACTGCAGTTTCCATGCAATGCTGCCTAGCATTTTTGGATTGGGGAATTTTTATCAGCTGAGAGAAAATCTGAGGAATTTTTTGGAGTGACATTTTTTTCACTTTGATCTTCTTTTCAATAGATTAAAGCATAAAAGTTTTGGCATGATATAACATGTGAAATGCTGTTTAAACATTGTGATCAAATGTGTTATTCGGAATTATTAAAATTATTCAGAAATGATCCCCTTTTCTAAGTGACTGCTTAACATGTTACTTTTGCTTTCCAGACTCCAAACTGATAAGGCTACCAGCACCTGCATTAATAAGTAAAACTGGTGGTGATAAATAATTTGAATTAATGAAAAAAAAATTTTTAACTGGAAAAATGGTTGGCAATTTTTAAAAATTTTCCAGAGCAACCTGATATACTATGTATATATATAAAATCATAAATCATAAAATCAG